TCTGGGGGGCGGCAGGTGGGAGTCCGCTGAGATTCGGTGTTTCAGCGGCTGGTGCCCAGGCTGTGGGTTCGGGGTAGGGAGCCGATTTCTCGCTGATGTTACTGCGGCGTCTGGACTGGGCTCCTGTGAGCCCTCGGAGGGAGCGGCAGCCTGCCCTTTGAGTATCGGAGCAGAAGCTACTGCTTTTCTTCCCCTCGAGCGGCTTCCCCTCCACAACATGAAGGAAGGAGGCGAGCCAGGTCCCCGTTCTTGCCAAAGTGATGAGTTCAAACCGCCGCCCAGCCAGCCCACGGCAGCGCCGCCGCACCCACAGAGCCTTCCTGTCCACCGGGGCCAGCAGGGAGCCCTGTCCTCCGTTCAGCCGTGAGGGTGGCGCTTGGTGACCATCTTCAGGATTTAATACCGTGTTACTGTTCCGCCAGGTGCTCAGCGCCTCCAGTCCCGGGCCCTGGGGTAGAGAAACGCCCGCGCGCTGGTAACAAAGCGTCTTCTCGCCTCTCCACGCCCAGGAGCGTGTTTGCATCCACTCTTCCTGTGGGCGCCACGGTCGCGGAGGCACCCTCGATGGGAGCTCGTGTGGGGTGCACGGGGACAACGGGAGCCCTGACCCCGCGAGGAACAACATCCTGGGGTCAAGCAAGCAGCCGGCCTGGTCTCTGCTCTTAGCCGGGGAGAAGTCCTTATTCTGGGAGAGGTCACTTTGAGGCTGCGTGGGACTCAGCACCGCCCTGGAAAGCTGGTGGCGCTCGGCGTGATGCAGTGGGATCCTCTGCGGGGCTTTGGAAACACCCCTGTCGAGGCTGAGGCCGAGGCGAGGCCGGCGGCCGGGAACTGGGGTGGCCCAGGCAGAGGGGGTCTGTGCAGCCGGCAGGTGTTTTCACTCTGCTGCTCAGGTGCAGAGCGTCGCTCCACCCTGAAGTCAGGTTCCCAGCCCTCCCCCTGCTGAATTGGCTTTGTCTGGAACTACTGGGCCTTCAGCCTGTTTTTCTGGGGTGTCAACAGCACGAACACGTCAGGATCGGTTTGAAGGGAGTGTGGGTGGCCGGGGGTGCAAGCCATGCCTCGGAAGAGACCGTAGACTGCTCGAGACTGCCTTGCAGCCAGCCAGGCTGCTGGGGAAACTCAGCGTGCCTAGGATTTTCCTTGCCCCGCGGCACGGGCACCAACTCAGACAGCTGACAGGGCTCCCCGAGGACGAGGACCTAAAGTATTTATGACTCTTACAGTGTTTCTGCAAGGTGAGCTTTGAGCCGGAGACCTGGGGCCACCGGGAGTCACTGAGGTGAGGAGCTGGTTTGGGGCAGCTGGGGAAGTCCCTCCAGCAGGGAGAGGGTCTCGAGTGTCCTTCCCAGAGAAGAGAAAGGAGGGAGGCCAGGACCTCTGCCCAGGCCCCTGCTTCACCTCATCTGAGATGCTTTGCAGAAGAGTCAGCGAAGCTCTCAGAAGACAGATTTATTGAGGTAGAAGTCGTATACCACGGACTTCCTCTGTCTTAGGCGCGCTCATCAGTGAGGCTGAGTGAATTTACAGGGCGGTCAGCCATCCCCACAGCCCCGTGTGAGACTGTTTCCATCACCCCAGAAAGATCTTTTGTGCCCTGGCCGGTTTGGCTCAGCAGTTAGAGCGTCGGCCTGTGGTCCACAGAGACCCGGGTTCGGTTCCCGCTAAGGGCATGTACCTCGGTTGCAGTGTGTCCCTGGCCCTGGTTGGTCGTGCGGGTGGCAGCCACTCGATGTGTCCCTTTCACGTCGATGTTTCTCTCTCTCTCTCTTCCTCTCTCTCCCTCCCGCTCTATCTGAACAAAAAATGGAGAAATGTCCTTGGGTGAGGATAAAAAAAAAGAAAGATCTTTTGTGCCTGTTTGCAGCCGGCCCTGCTCCCAGCCCAGATCCAGCCGGCCACCGACCGCCGGACCCCGGAGCAGGACAGGTCATGCGGGGCAGGTCCAAGTCCGCCGCCTTTGTTCTCTTCCCAAGTCGTCCCGGCTGCTCTGTGCCCTCTGCCTCTCTACCTGAGCATTGGGATCGCCTTGTCCGCCTCTGCGGAAGGCCCGGCTGGGTTCGCCCCGTGAGCTGTGGGCGTGTCCGTCCGCCCGGGGACCATGCCCACCCCGACCATCTTGAGCTTTCCAGCCACGGAGACGGAGCCTCTGTCCACTCGTGTGACTGTTCTTCCATCTCTCTCAGCGATGATTTGTCGTTTGTGGTGTACTAGCCACGCAAGCAATACTTTGGGGGGTTTATGGGGTCCTGCTAGGGGACCTGGGTTTCCAGTGTATCGCCTCTGCCCCACCTGCCTGGGGAACTCGGCACATGCTTCCCTGGTGGAGGCTGTTCTTCCCCTGGGGTGTGCTGACAGCAACGGCGGGGGTGGGGGCAGCGAGATGGGGACCCTGGGGACCCGGGCACAGGAGGGCGTCAAAGGGAGTGGTGGGGGGGGGGGAGGCAGATCGCCAAGGGCCTTGTGGGGCAATGTAAGGATTTGGCTTTTACTATGCGGTTTCCGGGCTTTGAGTGTTGTAGCTGGTTCTCATTATGTCTCCCCCTCGTTCCCACTCAGCATTGTGTTTTGCGATCCCTTCATGTTGCTAGGCGTCCAGCTAGCCCGTGGCTTGTAACAGTTCCCTCGCACTCTATAAATTCTACCCCCCTTCCCACTCCCGTCACTGCCCGGAACACCGCGCTCGCCCGTGTGTGTTCCATGGTGGGCGCGGGGTCCTGTCTGTGGGCGACGCACCCAGGAGCCAGCGGACCTGCCGGGCGGCGGGGCGGGCGCCTGCTGGCAGTGCCCGATGTCCGAGGCGCCCGCGGGTTCTCGCCGCCCCCCTCCCTGCCACCGGGGGACACTGCCCAGCTTTCCATGTCTTTGCCTAGCTCACAAGCACACGGAGACAGCTGTTGCTTCGACTGACATTTCTCTGAGGACTAAAGAGCGTGAGAACCTGTTTCTGTGCTCGCGGGCTTTTTGAGGTTTCTTCTTTTGTAAATGGCCCATCCATGTCCTTGGCCAGTTTTTCTGTCGGGGATTATTGTGTTTCTCTTTTTGATTTGCAGGAGTTTCTTGTATAGTCTGGAAAATGTCCATAGTTGTTTTCAGAAGGTTGGGTTTAAGGTAGCCTTGGAGATAATAGAGTCTAATCACTCCACTTTTTTTTTTTTTTTATCCTCACCCGAGGACACTTTTGCATTTATCTTCAGAGAGAGTGGGAGGGAGAAAGGGAAGGAGAGAGAGAGAGAAAAACATCAATGTGAGAGAGACACATCGACTAATTGCCACCCACATGACCCCAACCGGCGCCAGAGACAAACTGCAACCGAGGTACATGCCCTTCGTGGGAACCAAACCCGGTCTCTCTGGTCCGCAGGCCGACGCTCCAACCGCTGAGCCAAACCGGCCAGGGCTGAAGTGATTTCTTCCTTTCTTTTTAAATCCTCACCCGAGGATATTTTTCCGTTTATCATCAGATAGAGTAGGAAGGAGGGAGAGAGAGAGAAACATTGATGTGAGAGGGACACACCGACTGGTTGCCTCCCGCATGACCCTGACCCGGGCCGGGGACTGAACTGCCACCGAGGTGCGTGCCCTTGACCAGAATCGAACCCGTGGCTTCGGTCCGCAGGCCGATGCTCTAACTGCTGAGCCACACCGGCTGGGACTGGAATTGGCCCCTCCCCGCTGTCTCGCGTGGAAAGAGGGGGGCCCTTTCCGTGAGGAATGACCGCAGGGGTGAGCAGGGGCTGTTGGGCCGGCCCCCCTTCATCTGCAGGCCCCAGGGCCACCCCGCCTGACCTGCTGGCTAAGACCAGCTCCGGACCCACGGGACCCTTGCCGTGCCTGGAGCCCAGGTGTGATGACCATTCTGCCTTCCCGTCCACCTGGTCACCGACTTACTTCAGGCCTGTGTCTCCTCCTGCTTGAGCGGTGCTTCTCACACTTAGCGTGGTTCACCCAGAGACCACGGTACAGCACAGGGCACGCCCCCCAAGACCCTGGAGAGCTTTATTAGCCACCTGACTGGCCTGGCCCTCTGTCTCCTCCTGGGGTCACATCAGCCTGTTTCCCGGCGGAGGGGGTGCCCTGTGCACAGCTCCGGCCCCCACAGTCCGCCGGCGGTGCTCCCTCTGCGGCACCCCTGGCTTTTCAGCATCGCGGCCAGACATGGCCTCTGCCGGAAGCCCTCGCGGTGCCTGTGGAGGAAGCAGCAGGAGGGCTCCCCTGGCCGGCGCTCGGGGTGGACACCCCTGTGCACGGGTTAGGGACGCCTCGGGCAGGCGGCTGCGCTGTGGCCCGGCAGGTCTTCTCCATCTTTTTAAAGAACACTCGCTCTCGCCACATGCACACCGTTTATTCGAGGAGCTGCGGCCCCACAGCGCGGGCTCCGGGAGCGTCGTCCACCCTCCTCTTCCAGGTCCTCGCCTAGATGTAGGCGCCCGAAAGGCTGTGGGACGCCCTCGACCTCGTCAAAAAAGGTGCTTGTCTTGTTCCTTGTTGCTTTTTCTGTCTCAGGCTCCATCTGTGGACTTTCCAGGCAGAGAATGACCCTCCGGCCCTGCCCGCGGCCGGTGCCCCTTCCCGCACCCGTGTTCCGTCGCTCGGCCTGCTGGACAGCGGCTCGAGGGGGCTTTCCCTGCGAGTCAGAGCGAGGTGCTCTCCTTAGCTCTGCCCCCTCCCCCTCCGGTCACTCAGGGGATTGTGTCCCTGTCCCTCCCCTGTGGCTCCCGGAGCAGTGCAGCAGCGCAGGGCCCCCGGCTTCCTGGCAGCTCAGGACCACCGTGAGCTCTCTGGCGCACACGTGCAACGCTCATGCCCAGGGCTCTCGAGTGCAGGGTCGCAGGGGACAGTTCGAGCTCCTTGTCATGGTGGGCGAGACACCTTTGTCTTCCCAGCGCTCAGACTGCATCTGCTGGCCATGAGGCGGGGGCCACAAGAGATGTGAACAGGTGACACGTGTCATTTCCTGGCCCAGAGCTGTGTGCTCACAACATCTGTCTCCTCCGCAGGGGACCTCCGAGGACCCTGGTTCAGGGGTCGGAGCTACGGAGGGAGGAGGCTGCCCTGCCCGCCTCGGACTCCACGCCTAGAGGTAAGTCTGCGCGGTGCTGACCGACGGAGTTCGGGTTTGTCCGGCCTGGCCTGTCCGAGCCTGAGCAGCAGGGGCACTGAGCCCCGCAGGGCCCCGCCACCCTTCGCTCTCTAACCATCTCTCTCCTCCTCCGTCCCTTCGATCTGGATCCCGGCTCTGGCGGCCGGCGGGTCCTCGAGCCGGGCCACCCTGCCTGTCCACGGCCACTCCGGTCAGCAGCTCTCGGTCACAGAGCACAGGCCTGGGGGGCAGGCCCCGGGGTCCAGCTGTGGTTCTGTCTCCTGTCAACTCTGTGGCCCTGAGCTGGTTACATGGCTTCTCTGAGCTTCAGAAAACAAGACTAGCAACGGCCACCTGACCCGGTTGTTGAGGGCTGACCCCGTGAGAACCGCTGTGTGACGTGGGTCCCGGGCCGGGCATGTGGGAAGGACCCAGAAAGTGGGGGCACCTCTGTGGGCCTCCCCCCTTTCTTCGGTGCCAGGCTCATGGGACCTGCTGTTGGTTATGTCTCCAGACACCTCAGGTGGGGCAGCTTTGTGTGAAGGGGGACGGTGGGCTGGGGGAGGCTGTGCTGCTGACCATTTGGGGGGCCTCCGCCCGGCGCCATGAACTGGGGTGAATGTGAAGGGACGATGTGGTCGCCAAGGTGGCGAGGTTGTCAGTGTCAGCTCTGTGTCTGGCATGTTCTTCGTTGGACTCATTTCACTCTGGGTCCCTTCAGTCATTCCCTCTTGGGGGAGCGCATCTTCCTCCTGCATTTCTGGGTCCCCTCCCTCCGTGCTTCGCGGTGGCTCCCTCTGTACCAGACGCTGCAGCAGCGATTCCGGACTGCGGCCGTCCCGCCGAGCCCACAGAGCGCCGGGGCAGGTGGAGCGGGGAAGGACCAGCCCGGGACTGGCCACAACTTTTCTTTCTCTAACAGGCTCCAGCCCCAGCCAGCTCCGAGGGGGAAGGGCGAGGGGGAGGGTGGGGCCCGGGAGCGTCCGGGGCTAAATCAGCTTCGGGAAGCCGTCCTGGCCCGGGTCCAACTTACTGTGGAAAATGCGCCTGCCGACCTCCACCCGCTGCCCTTGCTCGTCCTCGTCCTCCGCCTCGCTCGACCTGCGCCGGGCGCTCTGGTAGATCACGGCGCACATGCCCGTGAGCCAGGCGGCCACGGTGCCCGCCGAGAAGATGCAGAAGCCGATGAGCAGCAGGAAGACGTAGTCCTGGCTGTCCAGGTGCGTGACGCACATGTACCGCAGCGGGTTCCCCACCTGCTCCACGGGCCAGCCGGCCAGCTCCGCGGGCTCCATGCACGTGGCGTTTGGCGCATCTGGAGGGAAAACACAGTGGGCAGAAGGGTGAAACCCCAGCGTCCTGAGAGGCTGCCTGGACCCTGGCTACTCCAGCTGTGGTCTGTGGGCATCGCTTGGACTTCGTCAGAAATGCAGCATCTCAGGCCTCCCCGCCCTCCTGAGTCGGAACCTGGGTCTTCGTGAGCCCCCCGGTGATCTGTGGACACAGGGAGGTTTGAGGAGCACCGAGCCCCGGACCGCGTCTGCCCCAGGCTTAGCTTCGTTCAGTCACCTCCTGAACATGGGCTTTGCTCTGACGGTCTGTGAGGATCGAGAGACCACAGCAGGCACGGGAGGTTCCGGAAGCTTGGCAAGGTCGCACGGACATGCCACAGCCCGCCACCGAGGTTCGCCATCTCCCTCCCTCCTGGGGATCCCACCTGTCTCTTCCCTACACTTGTGCCTGAGCCCGGCCAGGGACCACGAAGGCCACCCAGATCCCTGGAGAAGCCTACTGTGCACCCCCAGCCCAACCCGGAGAAATGAGTGGGGAGAGCGAGCCACTGGGGAGCAGCCCGGCCCGTCACACGACCCGCACGAGTCTTCAGTCCTTTGTAGCAGCGACTCAGCGGTCTGGCTCCTCTGAGTCTCACCCCCGCCACCACATCAAGCCCCTTGGACTTCAGAATAGAACAGAAAAAAAAGTGGACTCTGGGGCCAGGGCTTAAGTCCGGAGTGTCAGGTACTGATTTTGTACACGTTGGAGGGATACCCAGTTTGCTCCCTGAACCCCATGTTCTCATTCGAGACACGCAGAGGATGACACCTCTCAGCTGTGCTGAGGGTGAGCTGCGGGGTGGGTCCCCCAGCGTCACACTAAGAGGCTCACAGTCCAGGCCAGACCAGGGATGAAATTAGCCACTCCGAACACCCTAATGGCAGCCAGGACGTACCAAGTCCCAGGGACAGCTAAGTGACATGCAAATGTTACTTAATGCTCAGCCCCCCCCCCCCCCGCTCCCCGAACCTCGTCCTCTTGCTTCTCACCGAAGGGAACAGACTCAGAGTGTTTGGGATCTTGAAGGTTCCAGACACCCTGCCGGGTCTGGGCAGGAGACCGAAGACGGAGCTGGCTGAGCGACTCGGCGTGTTTGGCAGAAGCAGGAGACACACCAAAGCTGGCATGAGAGAAGCTTCCCCTAAGGTTCGGGGAGAAACTCCAGACCCCATGAGGGCGTCGAGCCCCTCGGTCAAGCAAGTGCGGGGACTCTGGCTGGAACACTGGCGTCAGCTGGTGCGCCCAGGTCCCGTGCGGGCTGGACCTGCCCCTGCGCCTGGCCCCTGGTCTCCAGTGAGTGACATCAGCACAGGGTTGTGACACCCTTGGTGGTAACAGGGATGGAGAAGACCCTCTCCAGACTGAGTGTGGACATGGGCCCTGGGGCGCCCGCCCAGGGGAGGGGAGGGGCTGGGGCCGAGGGCCTCCCTCCAGGTTGTCAGGGGCAGGGACACGTGCCCCCCTAGCCTGTTTCGGGGACTCCGGGCTTCGGCCAGGGGGCCCGCAGGTGGGGTTGGTGAGGAGCAGCGGGGCCCCTGGCAGGAGAGGATGGTCACCTGCTGAGATGCGGAGACATCTGGGGCACAGAGGGGTGTGCCCCAGAACGGAACTGGGATTCGGGGGTTCCGGGTGTGTGTGGGGAGTGGGGGAAGGGTTATCCAGTCTATTTGTAAAAAGAGCCGGCTTTAGCTGGGGACTTGGGCGCAGAGCGGAGACGGAACACGACGCGCCCCTGTTTTGGAGCCTGAGAGCAGCAATGGGGCGATTTCAGGCTGTTCCTAAGTGCGGGGTGGTGGGGGGTCTGGGCTTTTCTGCCCCCCCCATCTCGTCACCACTGAGGTGCCAGCCGAGCCTCCCGGAAGTCCCCGTGCCCACCGTTTCCCAGCTCTGGTCCTCCTGGCACAGCCTGGGGATTTCCCTCGGGCACACACAGCCCTTCCCCCCAGGCCTGTGGTTCCGAGCACGCCCCCCCCTCTGCCTGCGGGCCTCTGATGACCTCCAGGGAGCCTGCCTGGCCTTCTGAGCCCCAGGCACCGCCGCCACTGCTCAGCCGCCCCAGCTTCAGCCCCATCAGCGCCCCTCCCCCGATGCATCATGCCCTGTGGCTGCTGCTGTGCCGGTGCCCTGCCCCGTTTTCCGCCATCAGTTCCTTCCTGTCCTTCAGGGTCGAGTGGAAACGCATCTACTCCCAGGAGCCCTTCCCCAGCCGCGGCCCCGTCGCTCCGAGGACAGGTGACTGTCCACCCACCGCTGGGCTTTTCTTTCTGTCACCCCGTGGCCCCTGTCGCGTGCTCCCTGGCGCAGCGGTTATTTCCCAGGGAAGGGGGTGCTTTTCTACCCCGCAGGGCTGACTTTTGTCTCGTGTTATCCAGGTCTGCCCGCCATCCTTCTGTTAATAAGAGCTACCATTCACAGAAAGAATGAGTTAATTTTTAAACGTTTGGGGATTCAATACTAATTTTTTTTTAAAAAAATTTGCATTCCTTTTGAGTGATGGGAACATCCCCCCCCCCCGCCAATTTTTATTAATTTAGTTTTGTTACAGATGCTAATGTTTTTATTATTGAATTCTAGTTTAATTCTACTGTGGTCAGAGACATACTGTCTGTGATTTCAATCCTTTGAAATTTCTTGAGAATTTGCTTTATGGCTGAGCATAAAGCCAGTTGCAGTAAATTTGGCGTGCCTCCTGAGAAAGCGGTGTCTTCTGTCTTTGTGGGTCCGTTGTTGTGAAGGTGTCATTTAGGTTGTGGTTTTATAGTGCTCTTCTTGTTCTTCATTGACGTTTGATTTTTTTTGTGACGTTTCATTGACTTTTTCAGAGCTGTTGTCTTTGTTGCTATTAGCCTCTTAGTTGTCTATTCGTTACTGAGGGAAATGTGTTCAAACCACTCGTGAAGGGGTGCACCTGCCTACTTCTCCATGCAGCTCTGTCTAGTTTTGCTTTACGTATTTTGGAGCTAAGTTATTAGATGCCTAGGAAGTTATAACTGTCACCTCTTTCTGGGGCATCTACCCTTTCCTCATGGAGCCTTTTCTCATCATCTCGAGTGATCTTCTCGCCTTCGAGCCTACTTTGCTGACAGTAGGAGGGCCCTGTCGGATGTCTTCGAGCTGGGGTTCACATTGTATGTCCTTGCTCATATTTAATCTTTCCACCTTCCTAACTTAAGATACATTCTTGTGCCCTGGCCGGTTTGGCTCAGCGGTTAGAGCGTCGGCCTGCGGTCCAGAGAGACCCGGGTTCGGTTCCCGTAAGGGCACGTACCTCGGTTGCAGTTTGTCCCCGACCCTGGTTGGTCGTGCGGGTGGCAGCCACTCGATGTGTCCCTTCACGTCGATGTTTCTCTCTCTCTCTCTCTTCCTCTCTCTCCCTCCCACTCTACCTGAACAAAAAATGGAAAAATGTCCTCAGGTGAGGATAAAAAAAAAAAAAAAAAGATACATTCTTGTAAACAGCGTGGAGCTGGGTGTTGCTCTCCATCTAGTCTAGCAAACCTAGAATCAGCCCATTAACATTCATGTTCGACCGATACATTTAGATGCATTGTTTCTGTTCATGCCTCTTATTTACATCCCTCTCTCTCTACTTTGTTGCCTTCTGTTCTGTTGTGTCATTTCCTTTTCTTGAGCATGTCTTTTTCCTAGCCGGAGAGGATGACTGCAGAGATTACAGACGCACCTGCTGGTCCTAGAGGGCCCGATAGGTGCTGGCTAGCTTTACAAAACCAACCTCTACCCCGGACCCCGCACCGGGTAGTTGGAGTTATCCCCCGGCTCCAGAAGGAATAAGCTGGGAATGAGTCCCTGTCTCCTCACTTGATTGCCTTGCCCCTGGCGAAGAGCGGCGGGTACGGTTGTGTCAACTGCAGTGCAGGACCAGAGCCTCCGTTGACGTCACAGACGCGTGACTCGGCCCATGTAATCCCTCCCTCGGCCCTACCCCGTGGGTCCAGGGCATTCGCCCTAGTTAAAGCCCCAGGTATAATTACAGGCGTCATTAATGTTTAAATTCTTCCTGCAAATCGTTCCTAGGGAAACATAACCTACCCCTTGTTTATTTCCACACGTAGCACCCCGCTCATAGGTAGAAACCGGTGCCAGAGTCAGAGACTTGGAGGGGCGAGAGTTTCTGGGGCCCAGAGCCACACACCCCTTGGTGCTGGGGTCTGGGAAGACTCCCTTTAAGAAAACTAGCCTGGCCCTGGCCGGTGTGCCTCAGCGGTTAGAGCTTCGGCCTGCGGTCCAGAGAGGCCCGGGTTCGGTTTCCGCTAAGGGCACGTACCTCGGTTGCAGTTTGTCCCCGGCCCTGGTTGGGTCATGTGGGTGGCAACCACTCGATGTGTCCCTTTCACATCAGTGTTTCTCTTTCTCTCTCTCTCTCTCTCTCTCTCTCTCTCTCTCTCTCTCTCTCTCTCCCTCCCCCACTGTATCCGAACAAAAAAATGGAAAAATGTCCTCGGGTGAGGATTAAAAAAAAAAAAAGAAAGAAAACCAGCCTGAACCCAGTGGTGGGGAGGAACTACTCATTTTCCTTGGTCTGCAGAAGGGACACCGTTCTGGGGTCTGCTGTGGGTTCCCAGGGCTTGGCTCCCGGAGGAGCAGGCTGCTCTGAGCCCTGTACCAGCTGGGCCAAGTGGGGGGTCACATCTCAGGGTACACTGCCTCTTCCCCAGAAAGTCACCCGCAGTCCTTCACAGCCGTCCCCGCCACCTCACTGCCCCCCCTGAGGTTGCTGCCCTCTGCCAGTGGCACCCCTAACTGTGTGACCGTAGCCTCTTCTCTAGGGACACCCTCTCGCCTGGGACCCTGCGTGCTGACCACTAGCTTCCTCTCGCTTCGTCTAAGGGCAGTGTGTTCCCGGGTGGGTCCTTGGACGGCCAGCGAGAAGGGGCCTTAGGGGTGTCTCACGCCTCTCCCTCAGCTCAAGGACCGAGGGGACGCGGAGAGGCCAATGACCTGCTGGAGTCACACCTGGGCGTTGCTGGGCTAGCACAGCGCTGTCTGGCTCCCAGCTCGGTTTCTCTCTCTGGTGGCTCTAGGTTGTCTTGTTAAAGACAGGAATTGTGACGTCGTCCTCTGTGAGCCAAGCACCCTGACAGCTTGGCCACCTGATGGACACACAGGGTCCCAGGCGAGAGGGTGTCCCTAGAGAAGAGGCCACGGTCACACAGTTAGGGGTCCCGTTGGCAGAGGGCGGGGTGTGGGTTGAATGGTTGCAGCATGTCCCACGGCACTGGGCGGGACTCCTCAGCAGGCGACGTTGACGGGGGCCCTGAGCGGTGCGGGAGCCCCCAGCCATTCGCGTGGCTGTGTAGCGGAGTTGGAATGAAAATGGAAAATTAGTTCCTCAGTCCCACTGGCCCAGTTTCCAGAGCCCAGGGGCCCCCGTGGCTGCTGCTTGGACAGCTTGGATCTAGGCGGTCTCCAGGGGGTAGCACAGGAGGGCCTGGGGGGGATGCGGGAGGCCAGGTCCTCCTGCCCAGGGGCCGAGTGCCAGCCCAGCGCCCTGCGAGGCGCCCGGCCGCCCTGTGCGGGCAGCCACACTGCAGCTCACCTCCGCGTAGCACGGGCACCTGGAAAATTCCAGTCCGGCCGGAGCGAGCCCTCCTCCCTGTGGCCTCTGCCGGAAAGGGGGACACGAACACCTGAACCCGGAGGAGGATCGTTTTCAGTGCGTCTGGTCACCGTCTCGTCAGAGGGTCTCGTTAGATAAGACCTTCGGGAATCGCATCCAAGTTCCGAGTCCTGCGCAGTGCAGCGCCCCGAGAAAGCTGACGAATAGCACCCTCTGCGGCTCCCTGGGGGCGACCTCAGCCGAGACGGGACACAGGAAAGACACAGTGTTGCCCCTGTGCCTTCCTTGTGTGACCTTGGCTTCCTTCAAGGTTGCACAGTGTTGCAGAATGATCTCAGCTCATTGGATTTCCCAAGAATCCCCTCCTCCCTCTGATACGGGAACTGATAAAGGTTTGAGGCGCCGGTGTCTTTCTGGCCAGGAGTTCACATGTTTCTGCAGGGTCCTCTTCAGGATTTGCGTTCAGGTTTTGTTCTCCAGGGTCTGAACTCCTGTGTCCATAATGTCCAGGTCCCCAGCCTCCTCCAGGCGCCCTGTGCCATTTCCTCAGGGTGACAGCCCTGGGCCTGTCGTTGACCTCTCCCACCCTCCTGCGTCCCCACAAGCAGCTCCATCGTCGGGTGTCCCGGACAGGTACACCGTCCTCAGTTGCAGGTGTGTGAGTCTACCTGCCGCCCAGAGCTTGTCCCGCCCACCTGCCCGAAGTCCCTTAGAGCCTCCGTCTTCCCCCCTCGGCTATGGAATTGCTACGGTGTCCTGGCTTAACACGGGTGTTCTCATCTCCCCTTACAACGGCCCTGGGGAGGTTGCTCTATTCTTACATCTGTCTGGAAGGTGAGGGGCGAGGCGCTGGGGTGCTCCAGGGGCCATGGCAGGAGGGTGGGGCAGTGGGCAGAGGGGCAGCGACGGGCTTGGAAATCCGCCACGTGAGACTCGAGACTCTGCCTGCGAGATGGCAGCCTCCCCGCGGGACACGGTGGGCGCTGCGGACGGAGGAGCTACCTTATCAGGGCCCCCCCTCCCCCCGCACCCTCGCTCGCGGCCAGGTGCTCGCGTGCCCCCGGAGGAGCTACCTTATCAGGGCCCCCCCCTCCCCGCACCCTCGCTCGCGGCCAGGTGCTCGCGTGCCCCCGGAGGAGCTACCTTATCAGAGCCCCCCCCCCCCCGCACCCTCGCTCGCGGCCAGGTGCTCGCGTGCCCCCGCGCCCAGCCAGCTTCCCCTCCACACGCGCTGCTGGGAACGGTGGGCCGTGCTGAGATCCGACACTTCCAGCCACTGAGCTGAATAGTTTCCCGATGCCCTCCGGTGTCCCTGGTCCTTCACCGTTTCCACACACAGCGCTTTCTGTTGCCATGACACCCTGTATGTTTGGTAATGTCATCGTCCCCACTTTATGGGTCAGGAAGCTGAGGCTCAGAGACACTGGGACTTTCCCAAGGGAAAGGGCTGAGTTTAGGACTAGAACTCATCTCTTGGAATTCCCTTCCAGAACGTTCCTACTATGCCCTATTGCCTCTCCCGTCAGCCCAGGGTGGCCTGCAGGGCCCTAGGGGCTCCTTTCAGTCAGTGGCGCCCGGATGTCCCTCCCACCCTGCCTGCCCCTCAACTCCCCTTGTCTGGAGCCATGGCTCCGACCCCACCACCCTCCCCTCCCCCTCCCCACCATGCCCTCACCTGGGTGGCTCAGGTGGGACACTATTAAGTAGATGGTGAAGTCCAGGAAGGAGCAGTTGCATTTCCAGGGGTTCCCACTCAGGTACAGGGTCTGGAGTGTCAGGAGGTTTTGGAAGGCGCTGGGGTCCAGGGTCTGCAAGCCCGTGTTCCTGAGGTCCAGGTGCCTCAGAGAGCTGGTGTTGGCAAAGGTGTACTTGTTCAGAGACAGCAGGTGGGGGTTGTTGGAGATGTTCAGCTGCACCAGGTTGCTGAGCGGGGAGAAGCTGAACGGGGAGATGGAGGTCAGGTTGTTGGTGCTGAGGTCCAGGTAGATGAGTCTGAAGACCCCGATGAAGGTGTAGTCCATCACCTCGCGGATCTGGTTGTTCCGAAAGTCCAAGTAGACGAGGTCACTGAGGAGCCCCAGGGTCAACGCTGGCACGAAGGTGATGTTGTTATTGTTCAGGTACAGCCTGCGGGTGCTCAGGGGCATGTCCAGGGGGAACTCCGTTAACTGTGACCCCGTGCACACCACCTCCTGGGCTTGACACTGACAATTCTTTGGACACTTGGACCCCGACACCAGTCCCAGTCCAAAGGAGAAGAGTAACCAGCGGGGCCCGGGGCCTGAAGCAGGGGACATAGTAGGAAGCCACCGTGGGGCTGTTCTCTTTCCCGAAGGAGGTTCTGTCCCTCTGCAGGCTGCACAGGGCAGGTGGGGGGAGGGGCGTGGAAAGAACCGTACCTCTTGCTGTGCGCAAGATGACTTTCCGTTACAGGAGAACGGAGCAGAGCTGCAAGGGGAGGCCCAGGGCCCGCCGCCCGCCCGCCGCCCGCCCGCCCGCCGTGAGGGCTGGCTCGGCCGCCCCTGGAAGCCTGCCCGCTTGGCGGCTCTCAGAGGTCTCGCCCTCGCCCCGCGTTTGCAAGGGGAGCCAGGGCAGAGCCCGTGGCGACGAGGTTGCCAGTTGACCCCTTTGTGATGTCAGCAGCCTCAGGAGACTGCCGGGCAGAGGGCGGAGGTCCTGCCTCTCCTGGGGAGTGAGGGGTGTGTGTCTGGGTAAGCGGCTGTCCCTGGGGGAGCAGTGTGCGTGTGTGTGTGTGTGTGTATGCGCACAGGCGTGTGCCAGCTCCCCACGGCCCAGGATTAGGTTACCTGGGACCCCCTGACCCACGGGCTGTGTCGTGGATGGATCGTGGAAGTCTCCAGTCCAACTCCCTGCTTTCCTGATGTGCAAAGTAACTTACGGTTTCTTCCTTGGGTCTTGAGTTTAGAGAGGTGTCACTTTGGGGTGTTGTCTGGAGAAGGTGGGGGAAGGGGCACCTCCTTTGTAATGAGCCCAGGTCCTCCAAGACCATTCCTAGTTAGCAAACAGCACCGTCTGCGTCCGCCATATAGGTGTGTGCTGGGGCTTTGAAAAGCCATTTGAACAAGGGCCAGCTACTCCTCTTAAAACGAAACCCAAATGTATTAGAAACATCCGAGTGCGAAGATGGGAACTATTTCTTACCGTCTGAATTCTCCCAGGACTTTGAAAACAGTGAGCGCTTCTCGCGTGAGCTTCTGTTCATGAACCACCTGCCAGGTGTCGGGAGGGGCGTGGGAGGGGTGGCGAGGAGAGGGCCTAAGGGTTAGACTGTCACCCACTCAGGAAAATAGGCTTTCATTCTTTAAAACGATATCGAGCTTAGCTGTGATTATTAATAAAGTAATGAGAGCTATACTTAGCTCAGGACCGTGTCTGGCACCTGGTGGGTAATACATATTTATTGAGGGGCTGATGCGTGAATGTCTCTGGTGGTTTGTTTCTATTCCAGCTGCTCTGCCAGGAGAGAAATTAATAAACTCCAGTGGGTCTGTGGCTGGGCAGCCAAGCCTGATTGTGTTTACTCTCTAGCATTCCTCGGGTGACTGGCCGGGAATTAAGAGGATGATTTAGGAGTGTTTACCAAATGGAAGGGACCTTATTTAAGTGGAAAATGCAAACACTTAAAATAATGACCCAGATGATAATTGCACTGATTGAAGCAGGGCCTGTTGATAGACACCCTTTCCCTCTAATTAAAATGAAAGTTCCTTCTGGATCTTACATGATTGCCCAGGGAGCAGGATTGATTTCCGGGGCTCCCGTGGGTCCCCGGGCGGCTGGGCGAGGCTGTGGTTCGGTGGCCGGTGGTAGGGATGCTTTCCTCGGGTGGGTGGTGGGCTCTGTTGGTTGTCTGTCTACTTTTTTATAAATTGAATTTATTGGGGTGACTTTGGTTAATAAAGTCGTATAGGTTTCAGGTGTACGGTCCTTTAATACGTCATATATATAGTGTGCGTATACCACCCCAAGTCGTCTCCTTCCATCACCGTGTGTCCCGCCTCACCCTGTCCTACCTCCCCCACCCCCTTCCCTCTGGTCGTCACCACGCTCCTGTCTGTCTGTGAGGTCTGTCTTTTTCTGTTGCTTACTCCTCGGTTGTCTGTCTCCTCCTGATGAGCGCTGATGGCTGCCCGGCCTGCCCAGGCTCACAGGGCGATTTTACTCACAGCCCCCCTTCCCTGTCCACCTGTCTCCCTCTGACGTCCTTTCCTCGGGGAGCCGTGTCTCCAGGTCACCCCGTTTAACTTCCAGCCTCCTCCCGTCGACGCGCTTTCTCGAGACAGCAGCCCCAGGCTCAGGCTCCCGTCTGGCCAGATACTACGAGAACTTCCGCTTGGCAGAGCCTCAGATGGGCAGAGCACACCTGGGTTCCTGACCCACGCCGGCCCGTGTCTCTGTCCCCGGCACGGGGGTGGTCACCCTCACGGACGCCCTTCGCTGGAGGGCTGTGTGTGGTCCTGCGGTCTGAACCCCCCGGGGGGCTCTGCAGCTTTGCCGGTTCAGCCCAGATCCTGAAAGGTTTCTCGTCGTGATATCGAGGGAAATGTGTTAAATGGAGACTGGATGGACCAGACGGGAGGAAGGACAGTGTAGCCCTTCAGGACTAGGGGATTCTCAGAATTCCTAAATTCGTTTTCCCAGGAGCATCTTATGAGGCTATTACTTCAGGGATTCTGCTCTGAGAAGTACCAGACGAGGCTGTTCGCCCTTGGTAACGTTGCCGAACATCTCTGGGCTTGACCTTGCTCAGCTGCACATTGAGGAAGGCAGACAAGATACTTCCGACCCCCTCAGGACTTCCAGGTCCTGCTCAGTGGAAAGGTTTCGGGCACCACCCGCAGGGGGGGTATCGGCTCCAGGAAGAGGGGCGCCTCCCCTCCAAAGCTCAGCCCGTGGCCCCGCCTGCCAGGTCACCTCAGCCGCCTCTGCCCTCGGGGCCAGCAGCTCAGGCAGGCGGCAGCGAGCGCGCTGAGAGGCCCTGGGATCGGTCCCTCTCTACCCAAGTCCGGTCCTGGGCACCTGGGCAGCTCCCGCGTTCAGCTGCATCTGCTGGGCATAGTGTCTCCCCGGCTTGGTAGCCCCTCTCAGGGGCCAGTCCTCAGGGTCCAAAGCCAGGGGCACACACTGTCTCCCCAGCTTGGTAACCCCTCTCAGGGGCCAGTCCTCAGGATCCAAAGCCAGGGCGCAGTGGATGGGCACACTGTCTCCCCGGCTTGGTAGCCCCTCTCAGGATCCAAAGCCAGGGGCACAGCCAGTGGGCACACTGTCTCCCCGGCTTGGTAACCCCTCTCAGGGGCCAGTCCTCAGGATCCAAAACCGGGGCACAGCCAATGGGCACACTGTCTCCCCAGCTTGGTAACCCCTCTCAGGGGCCAGTCCTCAGGATCCAAAGCCGGGGTGCAGCCGATGGGCACACTGTCTCCCCGGCTTGGTAGCCCCTCTCAGGGGCCAGTCCTCAGGATCCAAAGCCGGGGTGCAGCCCAGTGCTGTAACGGGGAAGGCAGGGTGACACAGGTGAAGGGGCCTCCTTTGGAGCTCCGGGTGACTGTGAGCGGGACTTTGTGACGTCACGGAGCCTGGCTCTCCTCCCTGTAACACCAGCCAGAAGGGCCCGCAGGGCCTCCCTAGTGTGAAGCCGTCCAGACCCGCCCATGCAGGGAGAGCAGAGGGGGTCGCTTGAAGGCCCAAGCCCTGGGGACAGATTCAAGCAGCGACACGGGCCTGCCCGGGGTGAGCCGTCGGTCAGCGTGGGCCAGCGAAAGCCACTGGGTGCAGGGCCACGGGCTCGGGAGACGGGCTGGGGGCGGCTCTGGCTCACGTGGAAATAGACGTGCACCTGCTGGTTCATCCGGTGCGAGGCGCTGGCGTGTCTCATCGGGGTTCCCACGACACTCACACCCCGTGCTCACTGGGCTCTGCTTCCTGGGCAGGGGGTTCAGTGGGGTCGGGTCTAAATAGTGTCACTTTTCCGAGGACTTGGGTGTAGGGGTGGCTGTGGTATCCAGTTCACGCCTGGGTCCTCTGCAGCTGGATGGGCTCAGGGCAAGTCCCCTGAAAAGCAGATGACCAAGGTCATCCTGGGAGGGGACAAAGTCCCAACACATGCCGGAGGGGCGGGGCCTCGGGCATAGGTCATGGGCCTTGTCTGCCTCATGTGCGCCTCGGCCCGTTTGCGGGCCCAGCTGCTGGGGCTACTTGTCTTTCTCCAGGCTGCGCGAGCCGCACCGGAGGTGGACCCTCACCAGGGCAGAGGGGCCTCTCCCAACATGGGAACCCCAGGGAGGCCTTTGACTTCAGGCTTCACCCACATTAAACCGTCTTGCCACTTTCACCACCCAGAGCAACCCCAGGGGATGCCTCGAAATCGAATATTATTTTCAGAGTTCTTTCCAACATGTCATTTCCTTCCTGTGATCACCAAGTCCCCGGGAGGCGGCGAGTTGAGGGACAGTGATCACCAAGTCCCCGGGAGGCGGCGAGTTGAGGGACAGTGATCACCAAGTCCCCGGGAGGCGGCAAGTTGAGGGACAGTGATCACCAAGTCCCCGGGAGGCGGCGAGTTGAGGGACAGTGATCACCAAGTCCCCAGGAGGCAGCGAGTTGAGGGACAGTGATCACCAAGTCCCCGGAGGCGGCGAGTTGAGGGACAGTGATCACCAAGTCCCCGGGAGGCGGCGAGTTGAGGGACAGTGATCACCAAGTCCCCGGGAGGCGGCGAGTTGAGGGACAGTGATCACCAAGTCCCCGGGAGGCGGCGAGTTGAGGGACAGTGATCACCAAGTCCCCGGAGGCGGAGAGTTGAGGGACAGTGATCACCAAGTCCCCAGGAGGCGGCGAGCTGAGCCGCTGGGTGCAGGGTCACGCGCTAGGGAGACGGGCTGGGGGCGGCTCTGGCTCACGAGGAAACAGACGTGCACCTGCTGGTTCATTCAGTGCGAGGTGCTGGCGTGTCTCATCGGGGTTCATCACATAACTTGGTGACGAATGCTTTGGCTTCCGTCACCGCCTGCTGTCCAGCTGAGCTCTTGTCCCCAGAGCACCGTGAGGGCAGACGTGGACCCGTCCCCTGTCCCTTCCAATGTCCTCAGACGTCCGCCTATGTCAGAGGCGGGATGGCTGATCTGTCCTGGGACTTGAATAACCTCTGCTTCATGGATCTTCCTTTCTGGGGAGCTTGCTTCGAATGTCCCTCCACTCCCCAGACTGCAGGGGTGCAAGGTCAGAGAACGCCCCCGTGAGAACCGTGGGCCGCGCGTCCTGCTGCGTCCTCTGGCCG